ATGCCTCGAACATAACCAGCGGAACAGCTCTCTCGAACACAACCAGTGGAACAGCTCTCTCGAGCATAGCCAGTGAAACAGCTCTCTCGAACACAACCTGTGAAACATCTTTCTCAAACACAACCAGTGAAACATCTTTCTCAAACACAACCCGTTGAACATGTCTTGAACACAACCAGTGGATCAACTCTCTTGAACACTACCAGTGGAACATGTCTCGAGTGCAACCTGTGGAACAGTTCTCTCGAACACAACCAGTGGAACAGCTCTCTCAGACAAAACCAGTGGAACAGCTGTCTCGAGCAATGTGTTGCAGAGTCTCATTAAATTTATTACATTATTTACATTTTATATTTACATTTTGATGCAAATACACACACTGACGGATTCGAGTGGGAAGTGACTGGTCCTGAGCAGCAAACAGAAAGCCGTCTGTTTCACTTTTCAGGCCAGACGACTTCATCCAAGCGAGGGATTCTGCAGGGTTGCTATCTTCTCAACACACTACACATGTTGCAGTGTTCGTTCAGATAGCCTTTCCTTAAAAACGCTGATTCTGGGCCGATTTGATATGGCACTTCGGTTGGTTGACACTCATTTCTGTGCCGTCCAGCAGTATAGAACCATCAACAAAGTCAACACCGGCATTGAGATTATGTCCCACATCCTTGGCTCGTTTAAGAAAACTGTAGAATGCCTTGTTTTCATCATGAGTCTGGATATGCTCGAAAGAGGATCATATGAGCAACAGTGAGCAATATTATCCTCCCACAAAAAGCTTCCACGTTAGTCAAACCACGCCCTTTTATTATAATTGGTAAATATAAGCGATTGAGGGAAGAGCAAGGGTGATGGGATCTATTGTCTGACAGGATTCTTGGTGTGAGGGTGTCAATACCCTGAATTTCTAGTTCGTCCAATCAACAACAACAAAACAATACGAAAGGGCGGTTACAACATACGTGTTTGTGGATTTGACTTTATTGCGAGTGTTCAGCTCTGAACTCCAGATTTGTATTTATGGATAACAACTTCTTTAATACTGTATACCTAAATTGTGTCTACTTTGAAAACAAGGTACGGAGTAAAACCAGGTTTCCCGTTTGACGAGCCACGTTTGCATCCATTGAGAAAAATTGATTATACAATATGCAGGCGTACCGCCTTTAACTCCATAATAATTTTGTTGAGTCGATAACTTGGATGACGTCCTGTGGTTTTCATCTTGCACCTATACAACCTACTCCGTGTGTCCGTCATAGGTGCTTGGCAAGCCATCGCGGTACTATAGGCAAGGTCAATTCATGATGATTTGAACATGAATAACATTAGGATTTGCTGCACTTGTAAATAACATAATGAACACTCCCAACTTAAAATACATTTACCCAACTATCCACAACTATGTGACGGGTCTGATTTTAGTTTCATGTTTGCTTGGAGACAATGGGTTCAACAAAATTAGAACATGTACCCGCTGTAGAGGTAAGTGTACAAACTGACCAGGTTTTCAAAGTCAATCTGATGTTAATCCGGCTTGTTTATGACAGATGTCGACACCCAAGGGCGTACATGACGACATGACACAGTTGATGAGTTGTAATACTTTATCAGGAAACACGTTGCCATGACTGTAGTTATCTACTACATAATCTACTGGTTGGGGGTTGCAACATAATGGTGGTTTTTGTACATATCGAAACAGTGTAAACAATTAATTAAATCTTCAGGGTGGTGTTTGGGAATGGAACTATCAAATTTATCATCTTGACCTTAAACAAAAGTAACAAGAAAGAAGTGAGCAAAGCTCACATACCCCCGTTATCCCCGCTGGTCAACATCAAATAGTAAATAGTTTGTTAATTAATGAAATATACCTGTTGCTTTAAGTCAGAGGAACTGCCCTTTCCTTGGTAACCCAATGAGGATGCATTATGTTTGAAATGAACACGTATTTTGCAAACATATTTCAATCTAGTGTGGGATAATCAATGCTTAGGACACCATACATTCTTGATGTTTCTTAATGTGTCCATGGAAACGGAAAAAATTAAAAAATTCAGAATCTTCAAACTAGCAAAAGTAATCATTGTGGTAAATGTGTGTAGTACGTTTGATGAATCTAGGGTGCATGGTTAAAAAGTTATGGGCCGTACAAAAGCTCGAACGGAAGGACGGACGGACGGACGGACAGATGGAACGCTACATACCCCCGATGTACTTCGTAAACGGGGGTATAATAATAATTCACTTGACCCGGGGACGAAGTCCCCCTGACCACTATATGTGTATGTTTGGTGGCACAGTCCATGATGACCAGCGGTATATGTTTGTCAGTCATGGCATGGGTATTTATGAAGGATGTAGTTTCGTGTGTATATACTAGGGCTGAGACGGGTAACTCGGGTACCCGGTTCGGGTTGGTACTGAGTAGGACCCGGGTACCCACAGGACTACCTAGACCCGTGGTAAGTCATGTGATATATTGTTTAATGACAAAAATTAACTGGAACTCTATGGTTACACTACAAGTCACTACTGTTCACATTTCTTTCTGACTATGCACCCATTCCTTCTGATTTTTCACATGTTTGAATAAAGATATGACTTAAGTCAACTTCAGTGTATGCATGACCAGATCGTTTAATACATGTATCTAAATACGTTTTGCAGGTGCTGTAGTAAAAAATAATTACAATCGGACATTTTGTATCTCTTTAGACGTACAGTGGGTACCCGGATAGGGTCGGGTAATAGGGTGGTGGGTACTGGGTAGGGTCAGGTAATAGGGAGGTGGGTACCCGGGTAGGGTCGGGTATTAGGGGGATGGGTACCCGGGTAGGGTCAGGTAATAGGGAGGTGGGTACCCGGGTAGGGTCGGGTAATAGGGAGGTGGGTACCCGGGTAGGGTCGGGTAATAGGGAGGTGGGTACCCGGGTAGGGTCGGGTAATAGGGAGGTGGGTACCCGGGTAGGGTCGGGTAATAGGGAGGTGGGTACCCGGGTAGGCTCGGGTAATAGGGAGGTGGGTATCCGGGTAGGGTCGGGTAATAGGGAGGTGGGTACCCGGGTAGGGTCGGGTAATAGGGAGGTGGGTACCCAGGTAGGGTCAGGTAATAGGGGGGTGGGTACCCGGGTAGGGTCGGGTAATAAGGAGGTGGGTACCCGGGTAGGGTCAGGTAATAGGGGGTGGGTACCCGGGTGGGGTCGGGTAATAGGGAGGTGGGTACCCGTTCCCGAACAAATATTACAGCTGTGTAGAGGAGAATATCCTGTTTTGCTTGTTATTGAGGCTAGCACAGATTTGTCTTCACAAGAAACCTTAATAACATTGAAATTGTAAGACATACAAATGTAGTGTTGTAGCCTAGATGTGAAACTCAAAGACTGTAAATTGCCGGACTGTAATTCAAGCAGCTCAGGCCAACATCCACGCTGACGTAACGATGAGGCCGTTGCGCGCAGTACAACCATACAATGAGTTTAGATTGTTTTTCCAACGCAAAGAAATCGCTGTGAACACTTATTACCAGAGAAAGCATGTCAACAAGTAAGCAAGTTGGTCCTTATAAACTGACGTCCAAAAGAAACTTTTCCAGAGTTTTAAATCACTCTTGCACCAAAACAACAAAACATACATGCATGAAGTAAAGTGTATCGAGAAGATCACTATATGAACATTATCAACACTGAAAATGACAATCTTACCGCGACCGAGAATGACGTCGGAGCCCCCCAAAGTTGGGTGTGGTACAAAACTCGAGCTTTCAGAATCATGGATAGACTTCATCGAAAAAAAATTATACTTTGTCGGAAATTTATGTTTTAAGTTGTTAAAGTTTCTTTTGGACGTCAGTTTATATTACACCCTCTGCTCATAATATCTGGTTATCAAAAATGTTCATTGTGTATCTCAAATTATATTTGCAGTATTAATTGTTATTATATTTTTTTATTAATTCTATATAAAATGTGCTGTGCTGAGTTACGTCCCTTGGGCACGCCAGAAACCTTTGATTGTGGGTTCGAATCCCGTTTCGCCAGTAATATTCCAGCTATATGTCGGCGGTCTGTAAATAACCGAATCTGGACCAGATAATCCAGTGATTAATATCATGAGCATCGATCTACGCAATTGGGAACGATGGCATGTATCAACCAAGTCAGCGAGCCTGACCACCCAATCCCGTTAGTCTGTTACGACATACATGTATAGTTGGAATATTGCTGAGTGTGGCGTTAAGCAAGAAACAAACAAACAATAACAAACAAAGCAATACATCGATAGTCCGATGTATTGTTACACCCCTACAGATCACACATTGTAATCATCTGATCCGGAATTAGTTTTTAGCAACATCGTAGTCGTAGGAAACGACTTGACGGATCGGCTAATCAGTCCCGGAGACTTTTCTGAGTGTGTGTTGTCATACACAGAAGGTGTTAGTCGTTGTTCACAAGATCAATCACTGGATTACCTGGTTGAATCTCAATCACATATAGGTGGAATATTACTGCGGCGGTAAATAATATATCAAGACAATATTGGAGCGTAAAGAATATTAGGCGTGTTTTGGCTTGAATATTTTTCAAATCAACGAAAAAACCTCACTCACTCACTCAGCCAAACTACCACCCACCCGTCCAATCAGTCACTCACTCACTTACCCACCCACTCTTGTAGACCAACCGAGTTAAAGCCAGAACAGCAGAATGAAAACAATCACATGACTTTCTATTCTTGTTTTACCATATTGACGAAACAAACGAACAAGAGCGCTGTGATAGCAGACATTTTGCGACCGGATCTGGCACAGAGCCAACGACTGGCGGATCCGGTTACGACAAGTGCCACAACTCTGCACTGAGAGACCTGCACCTGTAGATGTAGTGACGAGACTGGCATAAACCATCGATAACGGGGGCACCTGTGATGATAGGAATCAACATGCAGCACTAAACACGGATACATTGTGTTTGCTGGAGGGGATGTAATTATGATGTGGTTTGATGCTGCTGTCTTCAAAGCGTAGCTTGGTAACAACACATGTCCCTTTTACACGTGCTGTTATCATCGTGCATCTACTTCCTTCATCACCCTGACTGTATAAACCGGGCGGCGAAACTCCGGTCTTCACTGGCGACTCTGCACGGCACATCTACAGGTAAGTACGTAACAGTTACCCGTTAGGGATGCGCTTCTAATTGTTGTGTACAGGTAGATTATTAACCGCCATAGTATCGAAAATATAATAAAAATATTATCCCTATTTTTATTATTACTACTACAACTACTACTACAACACGGAATCCACAATGGTAGTATTGTTTATATAATTGCCGACCTCACCATGTTCGACTGTACTGCGATACGGCAACGAACATTTTCGCAATTGTCGATGCAATGCATCGTTCTGAGGCAAGGGAGTTAACTGACTTTAAAAGTCCAGTTTCCACCCTTGCCGAACTAGGCTGGAATTCCTGGGCTCGATCGAAGCGCAACTTGTGGCTATTACAAGAGATGTCGCTTCCATGCTTCTCCTATGTACCAGTCAGATTCCACCTCTCGAATCACTTGCATTTGTTGAAAAGAAAATGGCGGCGACCAGTCGAGACGATTTAATCGATAATCAAAATCTATATTGTGATAAAAGGAGTCTAACTTCGCGAAGTGCATCAAATTACGTGAGCACCTTGGTTAAAAACATCAAAGGCGGGGCACATGCTATGCAAATCATGCAATCAACCGAAATCGGCACGACAGATTACAAACCGGATTTCGATTTCGTTGCGCGAATTGATTTGACTATGCACAGATTCGTTAGTCCAGCCAAAATGTGACTCCATAATACCAGACGAGTTCGGCAAGGGTCGAAACTGTTTTTTATAGTCAGTTAACTCTCTTGCCTCGGGAAGATGACTGCAATACGGCAACTAGCTACTTTACCATATTCGACTGTACTGCAATACGGCAACTAGCTACTTTACCATATTCGACTGTACTGAAATACGGCAACTTGCTACTTTACCATGTTCGACTGTACTGCAATACGGCAACTAGCTACTTTACCATGTTCGACTGTACTGCAGAACGGCATCTAGCTACTCCACCATGTTCGACTGTACTGCAATACGGCAACTTGCTACTTTACCATGTTCGACTGTACTGCAGTACGGCAACTAGCTACTTTACCATGTTCGTCTCAACTGCAATACGGCAACTAGCTACTTTACCTTGTTCGACTGTCATACAATACGGCAACTAGCTACTTCACCATGATCGACTGTCATACAATACGGCAACTTGCTACTTTACCATGTTCGACTGTACTACAATACGGCAACTAGCTACTTTACCATGTTCGACTGTCATACAATACGGCAACTTCCTACTTTACCATGTTCGACTGTACTGCAATACGGCAACTAGCTACTTTACCATGTTCGACTGTACTGCAGTACGGCAACTAGCTCCTTTACCATGTTCGACTGTACTGCAATACGGCAACTAGCTACTTTACCATGTTCGACTGTACTGCAATACGGTAACTAGCTACTTTACCATGTCCGACTGTACTGCAATGCGGCAACTTGCTACTTTACTATGTTCGATTCTACTGCAATACGGCAACTAGCTATTTAACCATGTTCGACTGTACTGCAATACGGCAACTTGCTACTTTACCATGTTTGACTGTACTGCAATACGGCAACTAGCTACTTTACCATGTTCGACTGTCATACAATACGGCAACTTCCTACTTTACCATATTCGACTGTACTGCAATACGGCAACTAGCTACTTTACCATGTTCGACTGTACTGCAGTACGGCAACTAGCTCCTTTACCATGTTCGACTGTACTGCAATACGGCAACTAGCTACTTTACCATGTTCGACTGTACTGCAATACGGTAACTAGCTACTTTACCATGTCCGACTGTACTGCAATACGGCAACTTGCTACTTTACTATGTTCGACTCTACTGCAATACGGCAACTAGCTATTTAACCATGTTCGACTGTACTGCAATACGGCAACTTGCTACTTTACCATGTTTGACTGTACTGCAATACGGCAACTAGCTACTTTACCATGTTCGACTGTACTGCAATACGGCAACTAGCTACTTTACCATGTTCGACTGTACTGCAATACGGCAACTTGATACTCTACCATGTTCGACTGTACTGCAATACGGCAACTAGCTACTTTACCATATTCGACTGTACTGCAATACGGCAACTAGCTACTTTACCATGTTCGACTGTACTGCAGTACGGCAACTAGCTCCTTTACCATGTTCGACTGTACTGCAATACGGCAACTAGCTACTTTACCATGTTCGACTGTACTTCAATACGGCAACTAGCTACTATACCATGTTCGACTGTACTGCAATACGGCAACTACCTACTTTACTATGTTCGACTGTACTGCAATACGGCAACTAGCTATTTAACCATGTTCGACTGTACTGCAAAACTGCAACTTGCTACTTTACCATATTCGACTGTACTGCAATGTTGCAACTAGCTACTTTACCATGTTCGTCTGTACTGCAGTACGGCATCTAGCTACTTTACCATATTCGACTGTACTGCAATACGGCAACTAGCTACTTTACCATGTTCGTCTGTACTACAATACGGCAACTAGCTACTTTTCCATGTTCAACTGTACTGCAATACGGCAACAAGCTACTCTACCATGTTCGACTGTACTGCAATACGGCAACTAGCTATGTTACCATGTTCGACTGCACTGCAATACGGTAACTAGCTTCTTTACCATGTTCGACTGTACTGCAATACGGCAACTAGCTACTTTACCATGTTCGACTGTACTGCAATACGGCAACTTGCTACTTTACCATGTTTGACTGTACTGCAATACGGCAACTAGCTACTTTACCATGTTCGACTGTACTGCAATACGGCAACTAGCTACTTTACCATGTTCGACTGTACTGCAATACGGCAACTTGATACTCTACCATGTTCGACTGTACTGCAATACGGCAACTAGCTACTTTACCATATTCGACTGTACTGCAATACGGCAACTAGCTACTTTACCATGTTCGACTGTACTGCAGTACGGCAACTAGCTCCTTTACCATGTTCGACTGTACTGCAATACGGCAACTAGCTACTTTACCATGTTCGACTGTACTTCAATACGGCAACTAGCTACTATACCATGTTCGACTGTACTGCAATACGGCAACTACCTACTTTACTATGTTCGACTGTACTGCAATACGGCAACTAGCTATTTAACCATGTTCGACTGTACTGCAAAACTGCAACTTGCTACTTTACCATATTCGACTGTACTGCAATGTTGCAACTAGCTACTTTACCATGTTCGTCTGTACTGCAGTACGGCATCTAGCTACTTTACCATATTCGACTGTACTGCAATACGGCAACTAGCTACTTTACCATGTTCGTCTGTACTACAATACGGCAACTAGCTACTTTTCCATGTTCAACTGTACTGCAATACGGCAACAAGCTACTCTACCATGTTCGACTGTACTGCAATACGGCAACTAGCTATGTTACCATGTTCGACTGCACTGCAATACGGTAACTAGCTTCTTTACCATGTTCGACTGTACTGCAATACGGCAACTAGCTACTTTACCATGTTCGACTGTACTGCAATACGGCAACTAGCTACTTTACCATATTCGTCTGTACTGCAATACGGCAACTAGCTCCTTTACCATGTTCGACTGTACTGCAGTACGGCAACTTGCTAATTTACAATGTTCGACTGTACTACAATACGGCAACTAGCTACTTTACCATGTTCGACTGTCATACAATACGGCAACTTGCTACTTTACCATGTTCGACTCTACTGCAATACTGCAACTAGCTACTTTACCATATTCGACTCTACTGCAATACGACAACTAGCTACTTTACCATGTTCGACTGTACTGCAATACGGCAACTAGCTACTTTACCATGTTCGACTGTACTGCAATACGGCAACTAGCTACTTTACTATGTTCGACTGTACTGCAATACGGCAACTACCTATTTAACCATGTTCGACTGTACTGCAATACGGCAACTAGCTACTTTACCATGTTCGACTGTACTGCAATACGGCAACTAGCTACTTTACCATGTTCGACTGTACTGCCATACGGCAACTTGCTACTTTACGATGTTCGACTGTACTGCAATACGGCAACTTGATGCTTTACCATGTTCGACTGTACTGCAATACGGCAACTAGCTACTTTACCATGTTCGACTGTCATACATTACGGCAACTTGCTACTTTACCATATTCGACTGTACTGCAATGTTGCAACTAGCTACTTTACCATGTTCGTCTGTACTGCAGTACGGCATCTAGCTACTTTACCATATTCGACTGTACTACAATACGGCAACTAGCCACTTTACCATGTTCGACTGTACTACAATACGGCAACAAGCTACTTTACCATGTTCGACTGTACTGCAATACGGCAACTTGCTATGTTACCATGTTCGACTGGACTGCAATACGGTAACTAGCTTCTTTACCATGTTAGACTGTACTGCAATACGGCAACTTGCTACTTTACCATATTCGACTGTACTGCAATGTTGCAACTAGCTACTTTACCATGTTCGTCTGTACTGCAGTACGGCATCTAGCTACTTTACCATATTCGACTGTACTGCAATGTTGCAACTAGCTACTTTACCATGTTCGTCTGTACTACAATACGGCAACTAGCTACTTTTCCATGTTCAACTGTACTGCAATACGGCAACAAGCTACTCTACCATGTTCGACTGTACTGCAATACGGCAACTAGCTATGTTACCATGTTCGACTGGACTGCAATACGGTAACTAGCTTCTTTACCATGTTCGACTGTACTGCAATACGGCAACTAGCTACTTTACCATTTTCGACTGTACTGCAATACGGCAACTAGCTACTTTACCATATTCGTCTGTACTGCAATACGGCAACTAGCTCCTTTACCATGTTGGACTGTACTGCAGTACGGCAACTTGCTACTTTACAATGTTCGACTGTACTACAATACGGCAACTAGCTACTTTACCATGTTCGACTGTCATACAATACGGCAACTTGCTACTTTACCATGTTCGACTGTACTGCAATACTGCAACTAGCTAC